ATCCGAGCAAAGGAATGAATGGAAAATCATGATCGCCGATATCTGTCGCAGATCTGGCACTGGATGATGATGATGATGATGATGATGTCCTAAGGGGACTTTTTGTCGCAAGTGTAGAAACTTGATAACTGTGCGATATTCAACAGGCTCCATGGCACCGTTTCAGCAACAACAACAAAAAACAAATGATTTTGTACATGGTTTCATTGAGCGCGCTGACTGTTGCCATATTATTGTCGAATTTTCCCGAAAATTTGCATGGTGTGTTCCAAAGAAATTTAGTTGGGTCAAAAACAATAGTTCCGTGACCGTGGGCTCCGGGAGTTCGTTTTTAACATGTTTTACCATCTTCAAGGTCTGAGTAAGAAAATTAGCCCCCATGCCTCTTTTTAAAATATGGGCATTACCCATGAGGCCTTGAAATCCAAGATGGCCGCCAAACGGCAAAAATCGATATTACTCATTGTCTTTTTCCAACACATATGAAGTGTGATGCATTACTTATGAGGTTTTTTAGGTCAAGAAGTTCATTTTTAGTGTCATTTTTAGCCTTTCGTCAAATATAAGGGCAAAAAATCCAATATGGCTGCCATCGTCCGTAAGGAAAATGGGAAAAACATTGATATCACAAATAGTAACTTAAGGTTCACAAATTAAGGGTATTTAATGATCTAGGAGAATTCTTTTTTTGTATCATTTCATATTTTTAGTATTTAACAAGCTGTGTAAATCCAGTTTGGCCGCTCATCGAATATATCAACACATACAGCACCCGCAGTATGGGAGCCTTGTCTATACTTTTTGTTTAGGTAAAAACCTGTGACCATTTTTCCATGACACTGTAGCTCAGGATTCACTGTGTAGATCTGATGTAGCAGCATTTTAGAACCGATGCAACCCGCAAAAAAATCGCCGTTAGGGGATAATGTGCAGTTTAGACATTCAGAAGATAATCTTACATAGTTAGAAAGAACATTAATCTAAAGGTCAATAACCTGTTTAGTCTTTACTCTCGTCTTTATATTGATCAGTTTGGTTTACAAGCTTGCTACGTTCATTACTGCTAGTATGAATGGAGGCTGTGGTATTAAAGCTATCCAAAAAGAGACAGTTGTTGGGGTATCACAGGAAGACTAGGGCGAACTTGCCTGCATTGCCTGTTCTACAGTTGCAATCCATGCATGGATAGGGATGGCCTAACATGACTGAGCATAGCGGGTATCCCTTCAGCAATGACGCCAGAATAGCCCACAAATCTGTAAGCCGCTTGAAGTATTTGTGGTGAACATAATATGTGACAAATATGATCGAATGCAGATGTCATATTGACTACATTGGCTACTCTTCGGCGTCTGTCAGATGGCATACATTAACATTTTAATCCAGCGAGTCTGACATCTCCAGTTGACACCTGAAACTTTTCCACGTCTGTGTTAGGCTGTTCGTACACTTGCTTGGCTAGTTCCTCTTTTCCAACATTCTCCCAAGCTGCATTGTAGCCACCAATACGAGTTCTTGGGTTGTATTGGAAACATTTAGGTTGTCCTTTACATTGAAAGATTTCTGCTTCCTAAGATGATGAATCTGTCATGGACAAGAGCTTCTCTCAACAAAAGAATACACCCAACACTAGGAAACCTTGGTATACAGTTCAGACTGTAACCACGAAAGTCAGCCAACCCAGTTCCTTTAAAGAGTTTGAAAGAAGCGTATTCGTATGCCATTTAAAAAAATGAAAAGCCCCCC